AAAGTTCTCCTTCAAGAGCTGATGTAGTAATGTTCCAATATTATTGAGGTTTAACGTAGAACATTCATACTTTCCACCAAGTTTATAACATACCATCCATCTCTGTTGGGAGTTTATTTTAATTTTCTCTAAGAGTCTCATGAAAACCTTACCGAAATGTTTGTGTAAGTAGTCTCTGTTTGGTTCATCTAAAGCTTCGATGTTAAAGTCAATGAGTCTATTGCCTGACTTCACATTTCTCTTCCTATTCTCTTCATCTTTCTTTAACCATCTCTCACCTTCTTTTGGTTTGTCGTCAATGGAACGAATGACATTATTAGCTTTGCGAACTTGTTCTATAGCACTTTTAAACATCTCTCTTCTCTGTTGTTTCAGTGTGTCGTCTCTCTTTCGTGTTTCACCAACGTTTGCATTTGTTATGTCAAACATCTCTTCACTTCATGGTACAGCTTTCTTGACCAACGTTTGCATTTGTTATGTCAAACATTTCTCTTCTTACTTCATGAGGTACTGAACGTCTATGATATAAGTCAATAGCAACGTCATTTAAAGGAAAAGTTTTGTTATTAATGTAATCATGAATTCTATCATAAGTTATTTCACCATTATAGTCATTGAGGATGTCAGCGAGTGCCTTTTTGTTTGTTGTGTAATGCTTTGCAACATCTATATTAGCTTCTGTAAGAAGTTGTTTTATTTCCGAGTGTTCTAACTTAGACAACTTCCGATACATCTTTAGTAGGAAATAAAAAAAATATTTTTTGAAAAAATTAGATTAGATTTTTTTAAGTTATTTTTCAAAATAATTTAATATTTTTATTTTAATGAAACACATGCAAGATTGCAAGTTCTTTTCATACAATGCTCTCGCTAACTGCCATCAAGAATGAGTTCAATGGTTCAAACGTTAATGTTATCTTTAACAAGAAGTTTGTGAAAGAATCTAAGTTTGGTCAGTATGTCAGACCATTAGCTATTGTCATTGACCGCAAACGTTATACTTCACAAGAGTTAGCAGTAGTTTTGAAACAAAAGGGTTTCTTCGTGAATGTCAAAGATACTCATTATACTATTATAAAGAACTCCAACATTGACTTCTTCAGTATTGCTATGAATCTTTCCGAACAGAAAGAATATAAGAAGGGTGAAACAAATGTGAAATATTATTCTTCATCTCTGAAAACAATAACGAACAAAGATGTTATACAAAAGTTCTTACCAAAGGTTGAAGAAGCTTCTATTGACATTGACGAAGGAAGTGAAATGGTTGAAGAAATTGACCCTGAAGCTATTTAACCAAAAATATATTTTTGGTTAGTCTTCATATCGATATTTTACAACAATTCCCCAATGTATAAACTTTTCATACGCTTTTTCATAAGCTTTATATACCTTCAGAAATTTTGCATAATCTTTAGAAGCATTTAGATATTGTTTAAATGCTTTGTATGTCTTCAGAAATTTTGCATAATCTTTTACATGTTGTTCGTTCTCTTCTTCTGTCATGAGTTCCGAATATTCTAAATTCATGTTCTTTCATATGAGATAAAATTTTATAAAAAAAATAAAATTAGCTTAGATTTTTTTATTCTTCCTCTTTGAAGTTATCGAAATATTCTGTTATTTTTTCCTTCAGTAATGTTAAGTCTTCTTTGAATGTAAGTATTGTGCAACCTTTGATGTCATAGTGTGTTTGAGGAAGAGTATTTTTGACAATTTCCTTTATTTGCTCATTCGGTGTCATTGAAATCGGTAAGTTTTCACGATAGAACCAGTTTCTGTCAGATTTGTAAATCTTAGCAAGGTCATAAAAGCTTTTGTTGTTTCTTCTGACTAAATGCAACATAACCATATCTTTATCTTCTTCTTTCTCCAACTCTTCAGTATATATCATATACTTATAACTCTTTTCCTTTCCTTTTGGTACTGAACGTGGTATTCTTTTCTGTATGCTTTTGTCTTTGGATTCAATGACTTCATCTTTTGCTTGAAGTTTCTTTTCCATCTCTCCACGTTCTGCTTTATATAGTTCATCTAACATCATGAAAATATAACAAGCATAACGAGGTGAAGCCCACATTGCTACAGCATTTACTAAAAGTCTATGAACATAATAACCTTTCAAACCAGGAGCCAAATTTTTACGATTTTCGTACGGAATCTCTTCTCTCGGTTTTCCGAGGGAAGCAATCATATGAGGAAATTCTTCTAAAAGTTCTTTTGTCTGTTGGTTTTCAAACCAATGATATGCTTGCTTTGTAGAATGAAGAGCGTTCAAAATACTTTGCATTTGGTACATGTCATCTTTGACTGAACGAATGAGACGTAACTGTTTGTTATACTGTATGTACTCGTATTCTTCATTTATGGCTTCATGGACTATAACTGTTGTTGTGTTCTCTAATGTTGACATATCTGTCTTTACATACAAAATAAAAAAAAATATTTTATAAAAAATTAGCGTTATTTTCTTACTTTCACAAAAGACCAAAAATAAACGCATTACATGTATTTTTCAGCAACTTCGTCAAATAATTTTATAGCTTTACCTATCTCATCTACTTCAAACGTTTCTTTACCTTTCGTGGGAGCACCATACATTTTCTCAAAAACTTCAAGCAGTTCTGTTTCAGCAGCTCTCATATCATTAACAAACACAACCTTGACTCTATTGACTGTACTGTCATATCTTTGAGTTATATTATATGTCCTTCCTATCTTATATCTTTTTGTGTTGAAGTCCTTCGGTTTCTGAACGATATAAAGTAAGCCTTCACTGCAACGTTCTGAGTCGAATGAACCATATGTTATGAAGTTATATCCAACAACTGGGTCAATCCATAGAAGAATTATTGGTATAAGACTTTTGTCAATGAGATATGCTGTGGTTCCATAGAATCTTACCGATATCATGAGCTCAGGATTTCTTGTCAAAATTTTCTGAGTTGAAGCATTTCTAACCCAGTCGTTTGTTTTCTTTCCAGATGGAGATATAATGTCTGACAAAGAATATTTGTTGTATTTCTTTGAGTATCTTACGTTTAAATCACCAATTCTAACCAATTTGGTGTTATTGTCTATCTTTCTAACTGTTTCAAACTCAATGTTTGTCATTTTCTGTTCTTACATACAAGATAAAAATTTTTTTTTTAAAAAAACTAACTTTATTTTTTCTATCTTACGGAAATTCATGAAAATTCACGAGACCCAAAGGGTCAGAGCCGCAAAGCGGCGAGGGTGAAAAAACAGGTGAAAAAAGAGGTGAAATCTCACCTCTTCACCTATAATATATTTTTGTCTGATTTACATCCAACGAAAAAGTTTAGAAGAATTTTCTTATTCTTTCTGGCATGTTTTTATCTTTCCAGTACTCCCGCTCTAATGGTCCCAGATGAGTTGGTTTAGATTCTCTCAAGTTCTTAGATGGTATAACATCTTCAACGCCTCCTTCATATCTTACTTTATAAGTGTCATCGTTTATGTTGTAGTCAAGTATTTCAATAACCACTCCTCGCTTTGCTTCGTCAATGGTTTCAGCAAGTTTGCCATTACTACTTTCGACTAATTTATGACGAGGGTAAAACGCTATGGAGTCGTCAGCAGCTTTTATAAGATATCCATTACCTTGCGTAGAGTCTACGATATAATAATTTCGACTTAACCTTAAACGTTTCTTTGTCAACGGTTTGTCGTCAAGAACTACACGAACTTTTGTACCAGGAATGAGGGTAAATTGTGTTGAATTTCTGATATTTTGTGTTTGGCTTCGTTTCTTTTGTATATACTTTTCTTCTTGTTGTTGTGTCATTGAATTTGGTGTATGCCCTGTTGTAGAATGTGTTGAGGAATTATATACTTCGAGAAAATGTTTCATTGTTTCTTCGGTAAAGTCTCGCTCTTGATTTAAATCTCTGAGAGTCCTTATGAAGCGGTTTATGATGCCGAGTATGTTATGGTTATGGTCTTCAGTAGTGTAGTGAGTTATGTTATGCTTAATGAGAAATTCTGTGATTTCGTTGCTGAGGTATGCTGAATCCTGGTCTGATGTTAAAGTACTTGGGTTATGTTCTGCTACAAACTTTTGTAAAACTCTTAACACTTCACGAGTTCCTTTATTTTTCATTGGATATGCATATGCTTTACGAGTGTTAACATTTATGAAGATGAGGAATGGTTTATGTCCTCCTTTTCTGCTTTGAATGAGAGTGTCAAATTGGTATGCGTCAGGAGTGTTGGAGTAAATTGGTAAAAAGTAGTCGTAAGGATTTATTTTTGTTTGATGTACAACATTTTTGTCAAAGAACCTTTTCACTTCAGCTCTGTTAGTAAATCCCCAACTCTTTGCAGCTTCATTGAACTTCTTAAATGACCTCCATGGATGTTGTTCGAATACTTCTTTCAAGCTCATTTATGTAAAGTTAAAGATTTTATTCTAGGCTCAAGCGCGTTCATTGAACTCTATACCATGCAAATACAGTCACAAATGGTGGCATGTAATCTTTACCCGAGCCTGTTGGATTTGTTGTGAAAGTGTGTGAATGATTTCCTGCGGTTCCACAGAAAATACCTGCGCTTGAATCTACTGGGTCACTTGAAATATCATATCTATGCATTCCCTGTCTATCCGAACCTGCTGCAAGATTTGTATAACCTCTTTTTGTTATTGAATGTGAATGACTACCTGTTGTGTTTGTAGTTCCTGTATGAGTGTGCGGTGGAAGGTTTGCTTCAGTAATTTTCTTCGAACCTCCTGTTTGCTTTGAAGAGTTAGCACAGTATAAGAATTTGTCTACAATCTGCTGCCATGTACCAAAACCCAGAACTGTTGCTGGATTTGTTGAGTTCATTGACGTATAAATAGAACCTATAGGATATAATGTTTGAAGTATTTCTGTCTTTAATGTTTGAAGCTCTGTTTTGTCTGCTTTCTTATCTAACATTGTTGGTAGTTCATATGCTTCAAAGTTTCTGGCATGATCTTCGATATTCCTGCAACTCTTATCTAAATTGTTAAGAGTATCTTTTACGCTTGTACTTGGATTTTCTAATGGTGCACTTGAACCAAGGTCAAAGTTCAATATTATGTCGTCTGCTCTAACAGTAGTGAAGGATTTATGTGTATGTTCTTTGTCTGCTTTCTTATCTAACATTGTTGGTAGTTCATATGCTTCAAAGTTTCTGGCATGATCTTCGATATTCCTGCAACTGTTATTTAAGGAGTTTAGTGTATCTTTTACGCTTGTACTTGGATTCTCTAAAGGTGCACTTGAACCAAGGTCAAAGTTCAATATTATGTCGTCTGCTCTAACAGTAGTGAAGGATTTATGTGTATGGTTTTTGTCTGCTTTACTGTCTAAAGAAGTTTGAAGTTCATTTATATCGGAGATATTGTGTTTATGAGATTTCAAAACTTTGTTCGTTGCGTCAAGTTCATTTTTGTCAGCTTTACTTTTAATAGCATCTTCAAAAGTTATTTTTGCCTTAACTCTTAACATAAATCTTGGTTCAACTAATACACCGTTAACAAAGAAGTATGAAGCATAAATTTCAGCGTTATAACCAAATGTTTGTGGTGCTATACCTGTGTCATACTGTACAGTACAGTGTATGTCATAACCTTTAGCACGAATGAATTTATATCTTCTTTCATTAACATTTTTCGTCTTCACTTCTTCATCCTGTGTTAAATATCCATGATAGTCCGTTATAATCTGTTCATCTGAACTTATATAATGAACATGGTTCTTGTCCGCTTTACTATTTAATGTAGCTTGAAGTTCATTTATATCGGAGATGTTGTGTTTATGAGATTTCAAAACTTTGTTCATTGCGTCAAGTTCATTTTTGTCCGCTTTACTATTTAATGTAGCTTGAAGTTCATTTATATCGGAGATATTGTGTTTATGTTCTTTATCTGCTTTTTCGGCTAATTTCTCTTCTATCTCATTTATTTCAAGTTCATGCCTACCACCACCTCCCGAAGAAGTATTTTTCTTCAGCTCTTGAAGAACGTCCACTTCGCCATCTTTGGTGTCAATAATGAGACTTTGAGTTAAAACCTTTCCTGTCTTAATGGATGTTTGTAAAACTTCTTCTTCACCATGTTCGGGGTCATGGTCGTCATCATATCTTGTGAAATCAGAGATGTTGTCATACATTAAGCATATCTGTCTCAAAAGTTCTGCTATTTGAAACTGGAACGAAAGATATACAGAACTTTCATCATCTCCTAAAGTCAAGTCTGCTTTCTTAAGTATTTCTTGAATGTATGCAATGAGAACAGAGTACCTTGGAAAATATTCGAACAATATTTCATTAGCTGTTGGTTTTGGTGGTTCTTTTGGAGTTTCTGTTGTTTCAGTTCCTTCTGTAGGTTCTGTTGGAGTTTCTGCATCTCTTGACTTCAATGCTCTTGCTCTCAAAGACCTAAATGTTAGAGCACCGGGTTTTACAAAGGACTTTATAAATGCTTTAATAGTTCCTGGTAAGTTATTGTTAGCATTAAGTAAGTTCCTTATGCTTCCATCATGTACGTCCATAGCACTATGTAAAAAATCTATACTTTTCTTGTAGTCAGCAATAGACTGACTGTGATTTTTTAAAGATTTGTCAATACCTTTAAGCCAATCTTCATGCATGTCTGATACTGAGCCAAGAATATCATTTGCTTCCTTTAGTGTATTTTGTGCTTGTCGTAAAGTATCCAATCCCGTACGTGCATTGTTTGCTATACGTCTTACAGTATCTATTTGACTCCTTGTTTCTTGCATCCAACCAGATAAAGTTTTAATAGTATCAGAACCATTTGAAATGAAGTTCAAAGCATTTTTGACGTCATCTAAAGCTTCTTCACCAAGTACAGCCCATATCTTTCCGATTTGGTATTGAAGAACTCCATATGAAGCAGCTGTTAAACCAGTATTTATAAGGTCCCATATCCATGATTTAGCAGTTTTTCCATCCTTTCCATCCTTTCCATCCAAACCGTTTTCGCCTTGAGGTCCTTGTATTCCTTGAGGTCCTTGTATTCCTTGAGGTCCTTGTATTCCTTGTGGTCCGGTGTCACCCTTCTCTCCTTTCAGTTCATCTTTATGTTCGTTATAATATTCTAATGTCATAAGGTGTACATCATTACTGCTACCAGCAACTCCTAATATTTGTTTCTCATTCATGACTAAATTCTTTAGGCATTTAATGTTGTCGTCAAATCGAAAGCTCTTTAACAATTCAATGAGAACATTCAGTACTTTCACTAATGAGGCATCTACTGTAGAATTTATATATTGCACCGTTCCATCATTTATGATAGGAACTTTACTTATTGTAATGAATGGGTCATAAGTGTTAAAAGTATCGAAATCAATGACTTTTTTAGTTTTTCCATCGTCAATGACTAAATCATTGCCTTCAATGGTTAAAGTTGAGTTTTCGTTTACTAGTTCATGTGCTCTTCTTGCTTCATTTGTTTCATACGCATATGCAGCAATAGTCATATTTTAATGAGAATAAAATGTTGTTCTATTTGCAAAGTACTGACCCAAACGAATACGGAACAGTAAAGCTACAAACAAACTTAGGTCTTCAGAATGAAGCGCTTGCTTTCAGAGTTGTTGACTTCAATACTATCGCAACTTTTGTCATAACAGATGAAACAGATTTCATGGAGTTTGAAATAGATGGAAAGAAGCATGAAATAAGATTTCACAATAATGTAGAATATAAGATGGAAACATTAGCTGGAGTGTTAAATGCGCTCATAAATACTACAATAAACAAGGAGAACGAAGAAAACTTAATGAATGTTAAACTTATTGCAGGAGTTTTGAAGTTCAGTTATGCGAAGGAGTTTAAGATAACACGAATGAGTCATAGAGTACAATTGCTTCTGGGAGCATACCATATGACATTTCCTTTGAAAAGTGTTGACAAAACGATTGAGATGAAATCTGTTCCATACGTATGTTATGGTAATTGTTTATACATTGAGTCAAAAATAGCTAATGTCACAGGTATTTCAGGAGTTAATAGTAAAGGTTCAGTAGAATATAAGTCTTTCTGTTATGAAGTAAATTCAATGTTCATTCCAAACGTTCCTGTCATAGCAACTCATTTAGGTAAATGGGTTCGCATTAGTCCTCATAATTTGAAAGACATGCAATTCAGACTAGTTGACTTTCAAGGAGAGCCTGTAGAACTGAAGGCACCAGTGCGAATGACTGTTGAAGTTGACTTTTTAGAAAATATTAAATGCAACAGCTTACAAGAGAACTCAGAGCTAAAAATATAAAGTATGAATGTTATGTATTAGGTCATGAACTTTGGTTGTTGCTGTTTGATGAAACAAATGAGTTAGTTATGTCAGTCAAGAGAACAGAAAAAGGCGTCAAAGGCGCCGAGCGCAAAGCGCTATATTGTGTTAGTGAAAACTGCACCAAGTCAATAAGATTAGGTTTGCATTATGAAGATGAGTTCGATACTGTTGAAGAAGTTTTGGATAGATATTACAAATTGCTAACTTGAAATTTTTTTGACTAACGGCGCAAAGCGCCAAGATGGGCTCAAAGAGCCCTCCTGACTGCTTTAATTTACTAAAACATATTTCAAGCAAAGTTTATATTCTGTTGAAAGTTTTGTATACTCGTTCGAATATTTATACTTAAACTCAACTCCTGTAGTTCCTGGTGTTTCAATGATGCGGATGTTACCTATTTTCATGAATGGTGGCGTTTGACCACAGCATTCGATTTCAGGGTCGAGATAGTCAATGACACATTGTTTCCCTGTTATTCGTGATATAACATTTTCAAGGTCCTCCTTTGTTAGAATTATTTGGTTCTTGCTTATAAGATTTACCAAAAGCTTCTTATCGTCTTTGAGTAAGATAGTTTGGTATAACTGAAGAAGGTAATGGTCTACGTTATCTGAAGGATTTGTTTGAACATTTGTGTAAGGGTTGTCGTTGGCTTCTCTTGAAAGAATTTGGTCCAGTGGTGGATACTCTAACTTAACATCTGATGTAGCGTTAGCGTTTGAAGCTGAGTTTAAATTCACCGACTTAAGTTCTGGTTCTTTTTCTTTCAAACACTCTGAACTATAGTTCTTTATGACAATATTGTTTGTCGTTCGTGAGTCAACATTTGATGTTGGTTCAATTGGAACATTAACGGCACCAGCTAAGATGGATTTGCTTCTCATTTCATATAGAATAAAAACCTTTTATATGTATGAAATGAACAATATACTCGACAAGGGTTTGAATGTAAAGCTAACGAATGAAAATATTGTTGAATTCACTGAGACAGGTGCTGTGTATAAAGATGTAGAACTACTGAACAAAAGAGCAAAGGGAAGAAGCAGGAACATGAACAAAGGGTGGAAGCCTATAAAAATTTATGTCAATGATGGCTCAGGAGGTTCAAACATAAAGTATGCAGAAAGTTATAGAGTTTATGCTCTCAAGGGAGAGAAGCCTTCATTTAAGAACAGCTATTCTAACACATATCCTCAAAAGCTAACGGATGGAGAAGTGGATGATATGAATGACAGCAAAAATATTAACAGAAATGGCGACAGAGATGCATGGAATTTGTTTACCATCAGTCAATTGAAGGTTAAACTTTAAAACAATGTTGGTCGTTCCCATGGAATGTTTTTGACTTTAATGGTATTAGTCATGATATGAATCTCAAGGTATGAACGAGGAGAGATGAGAGACTTATATGCTTCCCAAATTTCTTCAAAAGGTAATGTTATACCTGACTGTTTCCAAATGAGTTCAATGTCATAGCGTGAGAAACCTTGAAAGATAACGAAGTCAGTTATGAGACGTTTTATGTTTAAAGCAAGGAAACGCCATGTTTGCATAAGTATTGCTACAGTTAAGTGGTAATGTCTGACTTTAGTTATGATGTTAGCTAATGGTGAGTCTGCTTTTGACACTAAACCTTTTCCGGCGAAGTCGTCACAAACGAGCAGAGTGTTTGAAGGATACTTTTTGAAGGGGTATTTTGAAAGTTTTGATAGAATGTAGTTTGTCAGTCGTTTCATATCGTAAACTCCTGAGTATTGACGTAAGTGGTGTTTGTCAATAATTCTTTCCATCTCTTCTGAAGTCTTTTGCATTCCTGACTGTATGAACTCTACAATAGCATAATATTTTCTCTTACGTCGAATGTAACGTTGAAGAAATTCAATGAGTTCGCTATCTGGAACTTTAACGACAGAGGCTTGAACTTTTGACATAAATGTTTTCGCTGTTGAATCCATAGAGTCTGAAGTTGCTGATATAATGATTTGGTCATAGTAAGAGTCGTTTCCTAAACGCTCTGTTATGAGTATATGACGAATGAGGTTAAATGTCTTACCTGAACCCATCTTTCCACAATAGAAATACACACCATTTGAACAGAATTCATAATCTTTGCTGAAAGGAAGAATAAGAGAAGAGTTAAGTTTGTCTGTAGTTTCATTCATGTCTTCATCTACATCATGTATTAAATGCTTCATTTTATCTCCATTAAAAATGCAAGTCAGAAATATTCAGAACATAGCACCGAGTCTAACTGACAAGAGTATAAATATATACTATGAACATGTTATGATGAAACCAACCAAAATTCAAGAAAGTCAGTATACTTATGAATATCCAAGACACTGGGTAGAGTATGTAGGAGGTGAGAAAGCTATTGAAATAAGACAAGTTAGAAGTATTCCAGCAGGAAGAACAATATTATTGAAGAACTTTAATGTTTTGAGGTATAATGATGAAACAAAGAAGCAAGATAGTTTTCCTGTTGCTGTGTATGTGAACCTAGACACAGGAGATGACATGAAAGTTTTTAACACAAAGCTTCAAACGGTAGTGAGAGAACAACTGACTGCGGAAGGACACCCATTACCTTCAGAAGTTACCATAGCGTATAATTTTGAAACAAATGCAATAGATTTTAAAGTCGTCTCTGCAAAGAAGTCAGGTTTTACATTTAATGAAGCAGATGTATATTCGAATGAAAACTTCAAAGCTATTGCATGGTTAGATAATGACGATTGCTTTAAGAAAATATTTAAATTCAGTGACTCAAAGATGTCAATAGATGACCTTCGTGGAATGTTACCATCGACGTTTACAGTAGAAGGTTCAGCAGGATTGCTTACAAGATTGTCAATTGGTGGTATTTGGTCTCGTGAGAACATTGTTATAAAATCCAGTATAAGTGAATTTGCTGAAGAATCTATATTATGTCTTTCAAACTACATGTATTCGCCGCCGAAGCATTATAGTATAACAAACTTTGTCAGTAAGTTTAATATAAGACTTGTTGAACCTTCTTCAATGAAAGATGTTGTGCTACCCAAAGACGGAAAGGATGGACTCATTATTGAGATGATTTTAATAGCATATTAAATGAGCTTGTTTTTAAAGGTCATTCATGATGAAATAACTGTTGTAGAAGATGTTAGCAATTGTTCAGACATTTTGAAGCGTATAGATGAGATAAGAAAGAAGTTTATGAATGAGAATGTTTATGTTTCATTGACT